GAATGGAAACCCTCCAAGTGGAAGAATTTCTCAAAATCCAAACCTTTCAAACTATTATATGCATGCTCTGCATTCTTTTGCTGTTGCTTCTTTTGTTGCAGTGAAAAAACGAGAAGGGTGGGAAAATTCACATTGTGGGTCAGAATTGTCAGTGCTGGCTTATTGTTCTCCTATTTTGCTATATTTGGAGGGTTGTATTTTACTCAAATGGATTGGACATGTAGGTGGTGTTACTTTATTAATCCTGATTGGGACACTCTTTATGAAATATTTGAGGTTGTCAGGGAAAAGATTCAGCAATAAATTATTTGTACTATATGTTAATTTCTTATTCCATTCATAATTTCTTGAATGAGAATGTTTCAAATTCATACGACTTGCAATTTTGGAACAATTTTACAAGGGAAGTTTATTGTCTGTAGTCTGGAAGGGCATTGATAAAGACAAGCTCAGCATTTATTTCCATTCTTCACTTCCCTCAGAATTAAACATTCACCAATATCTAACTAAATAGAGATAGGTTTTACGTTCTGATATTGTTTGGGAGTTGGTCAAACCAAAATAATTTTAAATTTGAACACGAAAGTAACGGAAATTTTGTGATTAGATAAATTTATTGTAAAATTTGGAGTGAGTAATTCAACTCACTAAAGTTTATTGTAAACAATACACCAAGAAATAGGAAAATTTGTCTAAAAAATTTTCAACATTGAGCAAGCTTAATACTTTGATTCCCCACCACCCACCCCAACACTCGGTGAGTATATTAATTCTTTTGATACGTCTTTATTGTTATTTTATTAGTGGTGTGTTATCAAGGACTTTGTGGTGCTTAAAAATCTGCGCTCAATAGGCCAACATAGAACTGGGTTCTAGGGTTGGTGAGGGGATTTTTAGGTGTTATAGAGGTGATCAAATTTGATGCTTGATAAAGATCTGCGCTCAATAGGCCAACATAGAACTGGGTTCTAGGGTTGGTGAGGGGATTTTTTGGAGTGTCAAAGACTCTGTGGGTGTTTGAATAATGGTTGTAGTATTGGACGAGGTAATTGTAATGTAATTGATTCTATTACAATTAGGCAAGATTTTCTTGAAAATTAATTTTCAAGTTTTTCATCTTGTCAACCATTATTCGGTTTGCTAGTATTTCAAGGGTAATAGATTAGTAGAAATTGGTTTTGTGGTTGTTCAGTGTTGAAAATAATCTATTACGTGCGTGTAGTAGAATAAAGCTCATAATTTCCGAATTTATTGGTGTATTGTTGGATAAATACAAAATTGATTAAAATCATAATAATGAAAATCAATCCAAAAGAAATTTGATGTTGATTTGCTTCGTCTGGTACAATTGGACTTGCATCAACCGAATAAGCATCCAAATCAACCCCTGCCATGTCTCCTTTAGTTGGAATTCCAGCAGCAATCCATGATTTTCTCAAACAAGAATAATGTCTTGAGAAGGCATATCTACATCTAGTAAATAATGAACTATCTTCGTCTACATATTGAAGAAAACCCAATCCTCCATAAAAATCACTTCCTAATAATCCTTGATTGTATAGGCAGGTTGTTACATCAATCATTGCTCCTAAACAACTGTCTACACATTTTCCTGGACTATTTGATGAACTCTTACCTCCACATGCACAATAATTATTATAATTACTGTTTTGACAGTAAGCGGATCCAGAACATGGTATACTTGGTCTTTCTGCACATTTACCAGCAGCAGAGCAGTAGCCAGAATAACATTCGTCATTTGCCTTACAAATTCCATTGATTTCTATTCCGTACCATCTTGTACATTTGTTATTGTAACACCTGACTAGAGCTGATGAACTGTGAGCACAATCAGAATTCAAAACACAANTCTCTCCATAACTAGCGCTCCTT